AGAACCAGGGACATGGCGCGCACGTGCACCCACGGCCCGACGGCAGACTGGCCGCCCCATTAACAGAGACACCTCCGCTTGTGGCGCTGAATGCAGCACTGTCGTGGCGCCGCCCATGGCCATTGCCGGCTGGCTATCATGCACTTGCGCCATCTTGCCCCGAACGACAGAGAAAACCATGATATCGCTCAATGTGAAAGATCTCACTCGAAGCTTTGATCGATCATGACACCGCCTTCGTTGCACTTTCTACGTGATGACTCATTTGCGAAAGGTACGGTGAGGTGTGCGGAAAGATAAAATTGTTTGTGCGACTGGGTGCTGATGAGGATCATGCGAGTCCCTTAATTTTATCACAGCCGTGCGAACGTTATAGTTTACGCAGTCATAAAATGTTATAGGCTCACCGGCTCGAACTTAGCAAGAGGAGCCGAAATCCACATAAGCCTTTCTATGCCACAGAGAGAGAAGCGCTAACCGTTTGGAGCGCTTCCTTAACTCTGACGTTACCGCGCTGCCTCGAGGCACCATCAGTCCGTTGGTGTCTTGCCGTCTGCCGTGAAGCAAAGAGCGAACGCCGAGGAGAGACGAAAGCGAACATCCCCCCTTTCCCACATACCTCCCTACCGTCCACAGCTGGTTGAGACATTGCGGAGGGCGCTGGCAAGGAGGAGCCTGCAAGAACAAGCACCCCCCCCCTACTCCTCCTCCGCGCTCCACAGGACCCAGCGTGCTTACATGGCGGAGGAGCAGGCGAGCGACACCCAAAACAACCCTGAACCCCACGCAGCAGTTGCGAAGCGAGTCTCCTCGCCCACTAGGATGGCCCGGGAGCTCACGTGACCACCCCAGCTAAGACAATACCAGCGCTCACCACGACTCATCATGGCCATGGTCCTCACACTCAGGTCATCACGCAGACTAATGCAATCACCGGACTCATATCCACCCTACGACTCACGTCTTGATTCAGGCTCATGCTCGTGAGCCTCGAAACTCACAATCACACTCTAGAGATCTCAAACTTCACGCTCATGAGTACTTCACTTACAGCTCAAGCTCACACTCATGAGCCTTTAGAACTCATACTCGCACTCACGCTCATCAGTTGTCAGAACTCACGCTCAAACTCATGAGATCCCAGGGCTCAAACTCACACTCAAGAGCTTTCAGAACTCACGATCACACTCACAATCAAACTCACGCTCATGAGTTCGCAGGACTCACTCACGATCAGACTCACGGTCATGAGTTCTCAGGACACACACTCACAATCACACTCATGAGTTCGCGTAACCCACGATCACACTCACACTCACACTCATAATTTTTCGAGACTCGCAGCCTCACTCACGATCACCTCAAATCTGACGGTGAGCGTGAGTGATCGTGAGTGTTCGCACTCATGAGTGAGAATGCCGAGGTATGGTTGCAATTACTCTGCTTGACCCTGCCATCTGGTGGCAAGCGACTTCACGCTACGCGATAAACAGCGGCTTCGAGTTCGTTCTTTCAATAGCGGCTTTTGGTTTCGCGGATTGGTTTGCCATTTCTCCGTGATGTGCGGTTGGCGAAAGAATTGTGACTCGAGGAACACCAAAGGTAAGACGCAAAGTGCGCGAAGTAACTGGTATCGGTTGTCTCCGTTTAACATCGCAGTGCTGTCGACGAGAACACCGAGTAACTGCTCTCGTAACGCAAGTTTCTGTACCTGTGGGGGGAATCAGGCTTCGGAAATAAACACAGTTCGCGGAAAGCTCGTGTTACGCTTTTATTTGCTGCTCCTCTCGTCCCGTACAAGAGACGTAGCGTCCTCGTTAAGCCTTACTGAGCTCGATTTGCTCGATTCAGGGCCGCCATAATGAGATGCAGGCGACGGAGGAACTTTGCTCCCGTGCTTAACGGACGAAAGTTTCTCTCTTTCTAAAGGAACATAGGTTACAAGGCCGTTCCGCCCCCCTAAAAGAGGAGTATCCATACCCTTTTTTCTAAGAGTGTATTTTCTCCCCTGCTCCAGGGACGAAAGTTTCTCCCTTTCTAAAGGAACATAGGTTAGAAGACCGTTCCTCCCCTTAGGGGGGACTATCGATACCCTTTTTTCTAAGAGTGAACCTCTCATTACGAATCCTCCTTGGAGGAGCGCAAAAACTCTTTGCGTACGCACGCTATTTCCGAGAAATAGCGCACGCAAAAATAGCGCACGCAAAGCCCAAAACGTGGTTAGCGTTCGGCGCATCCGCAGTGGCGACGACGCTATTCTTTCCGTGCGCAAAGATTAAGCGTGCGCTATTCTAAAACTCTCTACTGACTAACCCGCCCGATATTGCAGCTACAACGACATATTCCAAAGCGAACGGCGCTCACTCAGCGGGGCACCGCCATGTTTCCCCGCATCCCTTCCGAGCCAGTCACGTGATTTCAAAATCCCTCTCCTAGGTACTGCGGCTAACTTTAGCCGCGATTAGCGCTTCGAGCAAACGGGCCCAGATAACCTATAGTTATATTGTCCTTGTAAGTAATTTTTCATTGTAGGGCTCAGCTCTTAGGCGCCTGTTTCCAGCTTGAGCGGCGTCGGCGTAACCGCGCGGTGCATTATGGGTAAATTTCCCCGCTAAATTTAGCGGAAAAAATTTCGCGCTAAATTTATCGGAATTTTTTTTATAAATGGGAGGCGAGCAGGACAGGAGGACGGGCATGGCCTCCTCTTCGTATACCTGCCCTTCCTCCTCCTCAAGAGCTGCGCTCTAATTCGGCGTTAAAGGGAGTTGTAAACGTCTTTCATTTTTTTTAATCAATTTCTTCATGCCCGGACTGCTTTGTGTGCGCTTGAAACCTGGGCTTAAAGGGCCTTCAGAACAAACTCATGAAAGAATCAGTGAAGCTGTTCGCAATCTCCACTCTGCGCGTGCCCAACAGAGTGCGCTGGTTCGCCGGCTTTCTAAAAGAGTTGAATCGGAGAGCCTTTTGCAACATTCCCAAGAAGAAAAGGTACACTGTAATATAATGCAATATACCATTCTTTCTTGGTACCTATAAATACTCCCAAGAGTGTATCCGTTCAGATGGGAGAAAACTTTGTCGACACGTGGTGACTTGTGTGTTCAAACCAGTGATTTATTCCATCGAAGTTTATTGCTAAGCCCTTATGGTCGTTCAAAAAATTACCAAATTATCTGTGGAAAAAAAAAATAAAGTAAAAGAGCACAGTCAATAAAACAAGTTTTCAAAATAATAAACATGTACAACAAATTATACAAACTAATAACACACAAAGGAATTACTCCGTAGAAGTTGAAATGTTGTTCAAGTTCATATCCTTGGCCTTTCGCTGTCAAATAATAGTCCAATTAAAATTGGCGCAAAAGTAACATTCGTTCTCTTTTGAAAGTAACCGTAACGGTATATCGATACGTTCTTAGGACGGTAACGAATCTCAGTAACCCGTCAAGTTTTGAAAACCTTAAGAATGACACTATTTCGTTACATTTTTTTTATGTAAGGGCACACCAGTGCTTGGGTCTCACTGGTGCCAGAAAGCCCAACACCCAATATCGGTGCACGGCCCCTTGAAGCTGACAGTGCGGCAGGAGCTACACGTTTGCAGGACCAGACCTCCATTTCATCGCCTGACCACGCCTTCTGCGTGGATATGGTTGGGTGCGCGGGCATGCGGCGAAAGATCGACGTTTGAGTGGTCCAACGGGCTCGTATGCCATCCACCACCCTGCCAGCTTTGGCCCTTTGCATCTGCCATCAAAGAAACAGTTTTAGCGTTCAATAAAACTGAGAAAGTAATTTTGAATGAATAAATTGCTAATTATTGATTTTAAAGGTATGGTTTCAAATAGAATCTTCCTGAGCACCATCGAAAACTACCGAAAGCACCCACACTACAATGGTAAAAGGCACGCTCACCATTTTACGGCGTTTTGAAGAAATGCTGAATTTGGACGCCTGTCTTGTTTTCGGCTTCTTGTCGGAGCGCATCTCCGTGCGCTCCGATAAGATTTTTGACATCTATGCCAGAGTCAAAAAGTTTTGACATCTATGCCAGAGTCAAAAAGTTTTGACATCTATGCCAGAGTGACATCGGCTACGCTCGTACCTTAGGTACGAGCGTGGCCGATGTTATGAGCCGAAGGGCCAATCAAACAGCGAAAGAGGCACAAAGCCATGGCAAGTTCTCTGCAGTTCATAGGACTATAGGAGTAGCCGGTATACGCCATCTCTCTGTGCGTGCTCCTCCTCCGGCTAGTTCTAGCAAGCGCAGAGAGCATACCATTGCGTTGCGCTTTTTGCGCTGTTTTATTGGTCCTCCGGCTCACAACATCGTCCGCGCTCGTACCTAAGGTGCAACGAAGTATATATGAACACCAAATGTATAGCACTAAAAGTATGAATATCCTAAATGATCAGGACCGTCTTCGTGAATGTGCAAAAAAAAAATAATAAATTCATGCAAAAGGAAAACATACATACGAGTATTACACGTAGCAAGCACATTGAATGACGTCATCAGAATTCAGATACTCAAACTCATCAAAAAGAAAAAGGACGAAGAATATTACGAAATGAGATAAGAAATTACACTGCATTTCTAAATCTTCGAGTCATGTACATTCTGTTGCAGTCCTATGAGCAAAGCATTAGTTTCCAGCTTGGTGTGTTAAATAGTTTCGAATATTGTTTAATTTTTACATCTTAAAATTATGTTGACCCCTCCACATTACTCGGTGTTTGTTATACTTTGTTCGTATACTTATGGTCATGAGTCGGCCGACTTGCAAGTAACGTAAGTGACCCTACAGAAAACCCAGAGACTCCAGGTGCATCACGTGATTAATGACTCTAAATGAATAAAAAAGATAAGGTTTCAAGTATTTTTTTTTTCGTGTACAAAAAAGAACACTGTTCGCTTCGTCTAAGGTAAATTCACATTTTTTTCTGTGTTTGCGCGATAAAAGACGGAAACATTTTGAACCATGCGAAACACACACTGCTCGCAAGTAGAACCCCTGCAGGTGTATCACCAAATGAAATGAACACACGTCGGAGCTTGAGTATTTCGTTTAAACCCCCTCCACAACTATGATGCAAGTGAGGGTTTCGATCACTTGCGATGTATCTTCCGATGATTCTGTAAATTGCTATAAGCCGCAAACGCTCTACTGCAGATCTCGCACTCGAACGGCTTTTCTCCGGTGCGAGTCCTCTCATGATCCGCCAAGTTGCATTTATGACTAAACGCCTTGCTGCACGTGTTGCACTTGTACGGCTTCTCTCCGGTATGAGTTCTCTCATGATTCGCCAAGCTGGTTTTCTGAGTAAACGCCCTGCTGCACGTGCTGCACTTGAACGGCTTCTCTCCTGTATGAATTCTTTCGTGATCCGCCAAGTTGCATTTATGACTAAACGCCCTGCTGCACGTGTTGCACTTGTATGGCTTCTCTCCGGTATGAGTTTTCTCATGATTCGCCAAACTGCCTTTCTGAGTAAACGCTCTGCTGCACGTGTTGCACTTGAACGGCTTCTCTCCGGTGTGAGTTCTAACGTGAGCCTTCAAGGGAGCCTTATGCGTGAACGTTTTCTCGCAAACATCGCAACTGAAGGGCCTCTCGCCAGTGTGAGTCCTCTCGTGGATGGCGATAGCCGCTGCGGAAGAGCATGAGTAAGGACAGAAGCGGCACGGGTGCTTGTCCGGGTTTCGGTGCGTTTGCTGCTTTTGTGGGTTGGTGGGGGGAGAGGTGTCACCCCTGCGGCTGTCCTGGTCGAAGGTATCCACTTTGTCGCCAGAGTATGCTTCGATCAGGTCTGTTGGGATGACAGGACAGAGCAAGAAATGTCGGCGCTGTTTTTGTTGTTCTGAACATGAATTTTGAGTACCTAGATGAACATGGCCCTGAATACATGCATTACGCCGGTCCGGCCTAAAGTAGGCATTCATTCATTTGCGACGTTGCAAAGGTTCAATTGTAATGCTTGTAAAGGTCTACAGGCGATCGTTAAAGAATCGACTCTGGCAGCCCCATGGTGCCGCAGCTGTGGTGGCTTGCGCGTTCTCCTAACCAAGTGCGGACGGGAAGTCAAGCCGCCGCGGCAGCTGCTGCACAGTGATGGCGGTAACGTGTTACAAGTGACGTCGTTACCGGTAGCGCCTTTCTTCTTTCATTAACGTAGTGACGTATTCATTAGCTTTTCTAAATCTACATATTTTCTAAATTTTGCCTATTTTTCCCCACGCAAAAATTTCCTCTTCAGAAAAACCCCAACCCCCGGCTTGTCAACCCGAGGTCGAAACACGCTGTCGCCAAAATAAAACAAAAGCCCTGTTACCGTCAATTTTTAAATAAAAAGTAACGCAAAAGTAACGTGCGTTATTTTCTGTCGGCGACAGCATCGCGTTCCTTTATTTCGCAAGTAACGTAGTCCTTTACTTTTTTACGCTAACGCAACCTGCTGCTGCATACCGCTGCCAGTACGCAGCGCTGGGTAATCGCGTGTTGACGTTCATAATGATCGCGACTGTGTTTTAAGTAACGCTGGAAGGGTCATTCACACACCCACAGATGATTGGGTTACACAAAATAGCATTCAATAGGGGCGTAGAATAATCGTTGTGTAGCTAAGAAAATTGAAAAATCGCTAAGGTACACAGCGATAATTTTACGAGCGATTTGAAACAGCGAAAAACGCGGTTCTATATCGACAATGATGTGCACATTTGCCAGTCTCAAGCTAAACTTCTAAAGCTTCAATCATTTGGAACAGCCAAACATATTTTGGGCTATTTCATGCGTCGAAAATAATTTATAGCATTTGTAAGAGCTACTCGATCAACCGGAATTGAAGGAAAAATACAATTTTGTAATATAAATAAGCAACTCAGCATGCATGGTACATTTCTCTGATATCAAATAATATGTATGTGGTATAATTTTTCGGTTTGGTGCAGGCCGCTAATTAAAACTTAATGAAGTCTCCACGTGGGGAAAACTTTGTGTACCACATCAGACTGCTTACGTTTTCGACCTTCTGGAAAACCGAGCCTACAAAAAGGTTTTCTATGCGTGTGGGACCGTTCATGAATCTGTGAGGGTGTGCTAAGAGGGTGCGAAGCTGGATGAGTGTTATCCGGTGTGCGTCTTCTAGTACCTGCTGTTGGTAGTTCTGAGGGCACCATAAGATTGGCGGCAGAAGTCGCACCGCCGTCCGTCCTCCCCTCCTGGTCCATCTTCAATGGTTGCCTCTGCAATTCGGCTCCTTGGAAGGAGAGCTCCGCCCCCTTGTCCTCGCAGTCCGTTCTCTGCCATTCGGAGTCAAATGCTGCGTGGGCAAGTTCGGTTAGGACTGAAGATCAAATTTTCTTTAGTTCCTTTTTTTAATACTATACCAATACAGAAGCCCAATCAGAACGAACTTAAGGAACAAGCAAACATAAACACATCATGCTGATGAAGTAGAGAAATTCAGGGGTTTACATTGATATTGCAGTGTAATTCAAAAAGTAAAATAATCATATCACGATCAAACACGCGCATCACAACTTGATACTGAATACACCGAAAACGTCAATTGTAAAAATGCACGAGAGTAAAACATAAAAGCGATCCTTCTCTATTAACTTTAAACACGTGTTAAAGGATTACGTCGACACAGTTCCAAACAAATCGACAAAGACACAACTGGGTGCGATCAAGGAGCGTGGTTTAGTTACATCGCTCCTGCTCTGTAGTGCTGAAAAAAGGCAAGCATGCCACAAAACCAATAACTGCACGGTATATCGCCACCACAGGTTTTGGGAATTACACGTTAACAAAACGGACACGATGTGTCGGCGAATGAATGTAGGGAAGGGAATAAAAATGTCGCATGTAGTTGGCTGAGCTGCGGCCATTCCCTATTTGATCCGACTATACCTCGTTTCAGTTTCGGTCCGAGCGCGGCCGATGTTATGAGCCGAAGGGCCAATCAAACAGCGCAAACTGCGCAGCGTCATGGCGTGCTCTTTATGCCTGATAGGACTAGCCGGCGGAGGAGCACGCACAGAGACACGGCGAATATCGGCTGGTCCTATCAACTACAGAGAGCACGCAATGACGTTGCGCCTCTTTCGTTGTTCCATTCATCTGGGGGAAAATTTAGCCCACAGGTCTGGCACTGCCAAAGTTGAGCTGGCTGGTGGCTGGCCGTTCTTCCCAGGCAGCGAAGGGCCGATCACATTTGCGTTAAGAGCATTTCCGGTTAGCTCGGCCTGCAAAGTATAGAAGAACGAGTATTGATAAACAGGCGCCAACACAAAGTTACTTTACCTGCCATCAAATATCGTCACATTCGATGAGCAAAACTAAAACTGAAGGGTACCAGTGCTTGGAATCGGTCTAGTTGGCTATTCATTACTTGATCAAACTGCGCAGTAAATGATTACGAATTACGACGCAGAGACGAGAAAAAAGAAGGCAACAGACGGGAAAACGCGCATTTGCAGTACAGTTCAATAAGGTAAAGAACTAAAGGCCACTTTCGAAATTAAACGCGGCGTGGATAACAGCACGCTTTGTCAGTACGAGAGTGCCTGCGGGAAATTTCAACCTGAAGAACACGAAAAAATTAAGTCCTATGGGACTATACCATTTCCAAGTGTGTGTCTTTTAGCCAAATACTAATGACAATTTTTGATTTCAACGAGAGATGTTTCCTTGTATATGCAACGTTTAAAAGCTAGGGGGAAGAAAAATATTAGCCGGTTGCGGCAGTGCTGCATCCACGCGACTAGTGCTATCATTTATAAAATAATATGCAGTGTAGATCAAACAGTCATTCTCGTGTTTTGCCAAAAACTAACATCAGCTGGGCTCACTTAGAAAACATGGGTTTTAGCTGAGATACTTGGTTCACGTTCACAAGTTCCTCAGAGACTCGCATTGCTAAAGAGCTCTTTAGATCACCCAGAAGTTGATTAAAAAATGTTATAATTTGGTAAATTGATCACCAGTATAAATTGATTACCAGTCATCAACGGTAAAAAGTTCACAGTCCCTTTTCCGAGACAAATATCTTTTTTGTTATTTCTTCTGACTCAGGACTAGCTTAGAGTGGCATTTCCCTCTCCTTCGTCCCCATTAATGGGAAGCGGAAGCATTTATTTCAAGAAATGAGATAGAGGTTAACTTCAGCGTAGTTTTATTCAGTAAATCTGAATATTGCGTTCTCTTGATGGTGCGGAATGCACGTTGCAAAAGAACTGTGGAAGCTCGCCGTCAGCACGCGCTCAGCAGTCGTGCACACAGCTATGGCCGCCAGTGAATATTCCCTATAGGGAGTATTCACTGGCGGTCATATCTGTGTGCGTTTTACCAGCTAGGCTGCAAGATAACGTCCTTTTCAAAACCAGTTTTTGCGGTCGGTGTTTGGTCCATGGTGGGAGCGATAGCATCCTCGGGTACTGATTGAAGGTGACGTGCCAGCGTTTTACTCGGCGAGAGTTATCGACCAATGATATATCTTTAGTTGGTTTCCGAGTCCTTTTGGTGAGAACTACTCACTAACACAGGGATGGTGACAGGAGTCACGCGGTAATATTTGTCCCGAGTGTACTACATGCATAGGAGAATTCGAGCTCTGTACGGCAGCAGAGCTCGATATTTTCAGAGGGAGCCCTCGTTGTCGATTGCATCAAACGGGAAGTATGGCGGAGCCTTATAGTTTCAGCTGGCGTTCCGTATCACTTCGTCGCGGCACTAGGCTTTTAGCGGACGGCTGCCTTTATTCCGGTCCGTTAATCATTTCTGTCTGCGAATGACGCTTCGTAGCAGACGAATTCTATTGTTTATTTACGTTAGCAGACTAATCATCTGCTGACGTTTTCTTGACTCGCTTCGGAAAGTCTCGGTAACAATGCTCGTACACCAATCAAAAGGCAGCGTGCAAACACCGTCTGAGGCGCGTTTCTTTCTCGTGTCTTCTCACATTGGGCCTATGAAAACTGTTTGTGAACGTGTTCGAAGCACTCGTATATGTGCGTTTCCAACACGTCTGCGGATAGTTTTGGTGGGCCCAATATGAGTTTACTGAGATAAAGGAACCAATTTTGGCAGTTGACACACTTGCAACTGCTTACGACCGGAGGGGCTTGTGAACCACCATCTTCTGACTGCCGATGGCCGGCCGCTTCTCTGCCGGTGATATGTAGTCGCCAATGTTTTAAGCACCTGTGGTTTGTAAGCATGGCAGTAAGAAATGTGTAGATCTGCCGTTAATTCCGCAAACAAGAAACAGAACGCGCACATGGCACACATTGTTTGACAGTTTTAGAAATAAGACACCACCTCCAGATATTTTGACATAATAAAACAAAAGTAAGACACTATTCATTTTTTCCGCATTAAGACATACTTAGACAGATTATACAGTATAAATAAACAAGTAGATGAAAACCTCCGCTAGGCTTTGAAAAAGACGAGGGCGGTTGGTCGGCAAAGTAAGGTAAGACAGACAATGGAAAGCTCGCGCGCAGCAGGGTGAACTGTAGCCATCTCCTTTGATCTGGCTCTGTCGCATTTGTGTAAAGACAAAATGTAGCACAAAGGCCTTGCACCGCCGAAGGGGGACTCGGCTGGTGACAGGCCACCTTTGCAAAGCAGCGAAGTGTCGTTCTCATCTGCGTCGAAATTCCTGCGTTGTTTGACCTGCAAGGCTTAGAAAGACGACGATTAATAAACAGTAAAGAACGGAAGGCTACAATACTTGTTTGTACCCTTCACTACTCATATTCAGCCATACTGAAACTGGGTGCAAAATTCGGAAACAGGTATGTGAAATGAGGCATAAAAGAGTACAATTAAGCTGATTATGCACTGATCACCCCAAACAGGTCATGTTAAGAGACTTCCCAGCGTGTCGGTAAACGAGATTTACCGTCCATTTCAACCCCTGCTATGTTATGCTGTGATTGAAAGCCTGTTGACGTGAATTTGACACGTTTTATTCCGCAAACGGGATGAGTATAAAAACTTAGTTAGGGGCTGAGGCGTATCAAGATGGGATCTATGAGGTCTCCGATTAATGAAGGTGCACAGAGTACAGCTGCAGTGCATCATTGAACTTACGGGTCTCTGCTCGAAGCGTGGAGCGAAATCTTGCGCAGCAGAATCTCAGAAACGGGCACACCAGTGCTTGGGCCCCACAGGTGCCAGAAAGCCCTCAATATCGTTGCCCCTTGAAGCTGACAGTGCGGTGCGAGCTACACGTTTGCCGGACCAGGCCTCCATTTCATCGCCTGGCGACGCCCTCTGCGTGGCTGGCAGAGTGGGCATGCGGCGAAAGATCGACGTTTGAGTGGTCCAACGGGCTCGTAGCTTCCACCACCTTGCCGGCCCTTTGCACTGCCATCAAAGAAACAGTTTTAGCTCTATTTGGGTAAGTAATTTTGACTGAATAAATTGCTAATTATTAATCTTAAAGGCATAATTTCAAATGCCTCATTGTAACGTGAGTGTATTAAATAGTTCACGATGATGCCGAGCAAAACTATAATGGAAACCATGCCTTTAAAACTATTATTTAACAACTCGGAATTCCATAATTATCCAATTATATTTATTCATTTATTTATTCATTCATATACCCATAAAGGCCCTTGTTAGAGCATTACATAAGGGGGGCTGCATGGATAATTTTATACAATAGTTACACAAACATGGTACAATAAATATACACACATTAACACGAGTTCACATAAAAGCACACAAAAAAAAACGAAAAAAAGAAAAAAAAAACAGGCACAATAAACACATTTGTTGTTTAATCAAATAATCTCGATAATTCTGTTTTGAATGCATCAGAGTTTGCAATTGTTACAATGGCATCAGGCAGGTTGTTCCAGTCGACAATCGTCTGGGGAAAGAAAGAGTGGTTGAATGCGTTCGTACTACCAGATAAGCTGGCGATTGTTCTATAATTTCCGTGTTGGGTCGATGATCGGAGGGGAGAACGCAGTAGGGCGTCGCGAAGCGTAGGATGATAATAGTAAATTTTGTCAAGACCTGAAGGGCGTGCAATTTTACGGCGGTCTTGTAATGGTGGGAGGTTCAGTTGAGTTTTTAGAGCAGATACGCTGGTGGTGCGGTCATAGTCGTACAAGATAAATCTTGCTGCCCGGTTCTGAACTGATTCCAGATTGTTAATAAGGTAGATCTGATGAGGGCTCCAAACTGATGCCGCATATTCTTGTTTTGACCTTACGTATGCGTTATATGCCATTTTCTTTATATGAGATGGAGGGGCTTTCAGGTTGCGTCTAATGTAACCCAGAGTTCGGGATGCTTTAGCTGTGATGT